CGGCAACCCGGACCCATCCGAAATTTGTGATATGCTCAGGTAAATACGAAGCACGAAGGCAAATGCGATAAGGCATTTATTTATGCATTCGCGTTTTATTGTCTGTGCCTAAGTTACATTTTGTTTTGTTTACTTGTTCAGCTGTAGTTTGTGAATTAAATGGGTAAAGGGGATGCCCGTCCAACGATGAGACTGTGATAATAATAATAATTCATGACACAGTCATGATAAGTTAGTAAAAACGTGTGATACTCAAATATGTATATAAATTTACTTTTCTTATCATTTCATTAGTGCTTAGTGACGATTGACACCAATGATGGTTGTTTCATTGCTTCATGCTTCCACGTTTTTCGTAAATTTCATATCTGATTGTTTCGAACGAATGAAATTGATTGTTTCGAAACCAGCGAGTAGATCGAATCGACGTTTTGGAATTGCTTTGAAACTTGAAACCTTTTCAGTGCGCTTTCTTTCACCAAATAGTTTGGTCCCCAAAGTCCTCCCGTTTTTCCTTCATTAGGATTTGTTCCGTCGAAAGGTGTCGTCGTCGATCGTCGGTCCTCATGANTATGAATATGTTTACTGTTTTTAATTTGCCATCGGAAACGACGCTCATGCGATGAGCCGTGTTGATTCGACTTGATGCGATTGGTTTTGATGCTGATTATTGCACAGTGGCGCTGTACTGAATCACTTTCGTACACCATTTAGTGTTTTTTCTCAATTTTCTGAATTTTCTCATTACGTTTCCCCAAATAAGATTTGTATTGGTATGTAATTCTTTTAAAATCATCACTATGGAAATGGTACAATAAAACACCCATATGCAATTTCCTTTCTTGAGTGGCATTGCTTTAACGAGCTTATGAATGGGTTCAGCATTGAAAATTTCCTCATTGTCAATATTGGGTTCAGACGGCACTCGAAAAAATCCTTTCCAAAACACGATGCTGTATCTGTGTCCTGTTTGTGATTCGTCTTAGTGCTGCTCTCCTTGCAAAATCAGCACAAAGTGCTCGTGAAGAAGAGGCAAACGAACAAGCAAGTTCCTTGTTTTTTTGCAGGCAGTACACATCAGTTTCTGATGGAGTGATTCTTTATAATGGTTCGATGTGAAATTGTTTACATTTTCACCTTCTCTCAGCCTGTGCAGTTTGCATCGAGCGGGTGCTATATGCATGTGCGTCTGACAGCTGGTTGGGTGCATTCTGTTCGATTATTTTCCAGTAGTCATCAATTGAACAAATGATCTGAACATGTCTCTCTCTGACTAAGCGAAACATC